GGGGGGTACAAGGGGTTGTCACCTCTTTCCTAACCCCCCCTCTCTATTTTTTGCCCCCCCCTCAGGGTTTTCCTGCCATGGGCTCAGGCCCCATCGACCCCAAGGAGCTCCTGAAGGGCTTGGACTGTTTCCTGGGCCGGGATGGGGAGGTTAAAAGTATGGATGGAATCACCAAAATCTTCAAGTAAGTCCCCAAAATACCCACCCCCCACTTTGTCACTGGCACCTGGGGGGGTCTTTAACGTCTCTCTCTTTAATTAGCTTAATGAAGGACTCCCAGAAGCTGGTGAGTCGTTGCATCTACCTGAACATCCTCCTGCAGACACGAGCTCAGGACATCCTGGTCAAGTAAGACCAACCCCCTTGTGGGGGGCACTTTGGGGGGTCAGAGCAGTGGGATTGGGGGGTTCACCCTCCTCCTGATGGGATTTTCCCTCCTGTTTGCCCCTCAGGTTCATCAGGATTGGGGGTTACAAGCTGCTCAACACTTGGCTCACCACCTCCAAGGCCTCCAACAATGTCCCCTTCCTGCAGCAGATCCTGCTCACCCTGCAGCACCTGCCCCTCACTGTCGACCACCTCAAGCAGGTCGGGGTGGCTTCTGTCCCCTCCCTGGTGGCTTCTGCTTTTGTCCCCTCCCTGGTGGCTTTTGTCCCCTCCCTGGTGGCTTTTGTCCCCTCCCTGGTGGCTTTTGTCCCCTCCCTGGTGGCTTTTGTCCCCTCCCTGGTGGCTTTTGTCCCCTCCCTGGTGGCTTTTGTCCCCTCCCTGGTGGCTTTTGTCCCCTCCCTGGTGGCTTTTGTCCCCTCCCTGGTGGCTTTTGTCCCCTCCCTGGTGGCTTTTGTCCCCTCCCTGGTGGCTTTTGTCCCCTCCCTGGTGGCTTTTGTCCCCTCCCTGGTGGCTTTTGTCCCCTCCCTGGTGGCTTTTGTCCCCTCCCTGGTGGCTTTTGTCCCCTCCCTGGTGGCTTTTGTCCCCTCCCTGGTGGCTTTTGTCTCCCTTGGGTGGCTTTTGTCCCCTCCCTGGTGGCTTTTGTCTCCCTTGGGTGGCTTCTGTCCCCTCCCTGGTGGTTTCTGGGTCCCCTCCCGGGTGCCTTTTGTCCCCCCCAAGGTGGCTTTTGTCCCCTCTAGTGCTTTCTTTGTGTCCCCAGGTTGTTTTTAGTCCCCCTTGGGTGGCTTTTGGGTCCTTTCCAGTGCTTTTTATACCCCCCTAAGTGTCACTTGTCCCCCCTCGATGGCTCTTGTGTCCCCCCCAGG